GCTCAAAAAGGGGAAAATTTGTGTAGAATGGACTAGATGCCCAATTTACGACTTTGTGCCGACAAATCAATGTTTTAGGTGCTTAAGATTTGGGCATCGTGCTCGTGATTGTATGTTGCAAACAATGGTTTGCAGTCACTGTGGCGAGGATCACCTGTTTAAGGACTGCACCAACAAACACAAGAGACCAAGGTGTGCAAACTGTGTCAGAGAAAATAATAAAGAACATGATCATAACACCATGGACAGACGCTGCCAGACCTATTTAAGGGCTAAGGCCCAGGCTATTGAGCGCACCGACTACGTCTCCTAACAGTGGTTCGTGTTCCGTCTCGTATTTTCCTATTTTAATGTTTATCAACTTTATTTTTCCCTGTATACATTTTACTGTACCGCTGTATTGTTATTCATCCTACAATTGATGTTATCTTTACACTGTACTCACTGTATTTTGAGCTCTACATCTCCTACATCTTGTACATCCTTAATTGTATGTGTTTTGTAACCATGTATTTAATGAACTATTTATGTACGGGCATGCATTCCAGTGCAACGACTGTTCTGTGTTTCTTCTCTGACTGTGTAGCTTACTTTTATCATATTTACTTATTTCTGTTCGTTAGTTGTGTTACCAGTTTAACTGTTTGTATTTCTAACATTGTACTTGTTACCACCGGGTAGTGCGTACTGCGCAACCCGGAATGTACCATGTGTATGTAAAGGAGTCTTCGATAAATCTACATATCAAAATGATATTAACACACAAAGTTTTGCTATGAAACGATCTTTATGGATTAATATCATTTTGATATGTAAATTTATCGAAGACTCCTTTTTCTAAGAAATTTCTTTAGATACTAATAAATTAAACAATATTTTTGTACTACACATTTTACCAATAGTAAACTTCGAGATCAGAGTCGGAGTCGAAAGAATTTTACCGAAGTCTGGAGCTGTCTAAATTCACACGGGTACTCAGCGAGTTTTCTCCAAAACTTTAAGAAAATCTTTCAACCGAAGAGTAGAAAAACTCATTTTGTATAGTAGTATATACTTTACATACGAAGAAAGGAAAAAATTAGTTCAAATATGGTATATAGCAGTGGCGCATTATTGCTTCGTGGGGCCCTTTGACGTATCGGAGGTCCTATGTACAGTGTTAACTTCAGACGTTTTTCTTCGGGGGAACTATTTTCTTATAAAAGATTGGTGTGGACCTCAGTCAATTTTCCTTTTTGTCCATAGGATAACGTTAGACTGGTATGCCTATGTAAATAGTATTAAAAGTGCAATAAAGTGTACACGTTGTTATATTTTTGTTTTGTTTCCCCTTTTATATTTCAAATATATTTGATATTAAATGTTTTTTGTTCCAGTCGTTTTGTTATCGATTGATTACATTATGACTCGCCCTTTACTAAGCCTGAGATGCTGGGAAGTGGAATTTTTGGTGGAAGTAGAAGTGGCATTTTTTTGAAACTGTTTCCGCCGTGTGAGCACGAAGATGGCCTTTTTCTAAACTAGTCTATTAAGGATTTGACCAGGCCCACAATGGGCCGTATGGTGAAAGACGGGGCACGACATATTGGGAAAATTCCTGGGGGTTTTCGGCCCGTCCAGTTTTGGTACCGGGTCCATTTAGAGTACACATGGTTATAGTGTGTTCAAATTTAGAGAATTTATTGAAATTATTGATGGAGATTACCATATCCATCAATAATTTGGAGATTACCATCTCCATCAATAATTACCATCTCCATTAATAATTTCAATAAATGCATCTATTTTAATCGTATGAAAGAAACAACATGTTTCTGGATATTCAATTTAGAGTAAAGATTTACTCGGTCGCGGGTTCGTGCCCCATCAACGGACTGGCCCTTTGAAGTTTTCCGGGTTTTCTTCACGTGTCTAACATGTAAATAGGAACCATTTTCTCCATAGTAAATCCTCTGAGGAGACACTTACTCGGCAGAACGCCCATTCCACCAATCCAATCCAATCCAATCTTTTATGGGTTTTTAATAAAACAGAAAACGTTACAATTAAGAATTCTTTTTACACAATTTTCAGTTTTTCTATTATTATTAATCTAAATATAAATTCGACAAATTTAACTGAAAATATGAGAGAAATTTTTGATAAGAAACGGAATATTTTCTATTCTTCTGGTAACGTTGCTGATTCGTGTACAGTTGAGTATTACCGGAAGTATTCCGGATCTTAGGTGTTGCGCGGTAACTTATTTTTTTTATTCTGTATACGAGTATTAAACAAAATAATGCTAAATATTCAAAATCCAACCCTCTACATATTGCGATAAAATCACGGCAAACTCCACATTTGAAATGAGTATAATATGAAGGTAAAAAATAATTACAGTAATCTCATTTAATTTAATAAAATTTCAGGCTCAAATGGAAAATCCATTTTAGGAAGTTTATTTTTTAACTCCTGCTATGTGGGCACTATGCTGGGCTATTATGAGTTAGGCCAGGCTTACAATGGGACGGCCGGGTGATGATATAATGGACTATGTAATGAGGGCTTGTAATAGTGCCTACAGGGACACTGTTACAAACCTATTATGAGGACCACCTCTGAAAATTACTGGGATTTTTAGACCCGTCCGGATTCGATTCCGAGTCCTCCAGAGCAGTAGGATGCAACCTTAATTAGTTGAAGAAAACAAAATTAAATTAAAATTTTTGTTTTAAATCCGCGAATTTAATTATTGAATCTATTGTTTTTATTCAAATTTAATTATTTAGAGTTTAAATTAGCTTTCATTTGTCATTCTAAATTTATTATTATTTTTAAAATTAATTAATGAATTTATTTAATAGTAAAATTATCGAATATTATGCGTATATTCGCAATTATCATGTGGCGATAAAATATTCTTTTTTGGAAGAATAATTCATGAAAAATATTTTTTTTTTTAATAAAGAAAGGTTGTTTTACAAATAAAATCCATTTCTATTTGCATAAAGCAAGAATTTTACGTATTATAATCGAGCCTCTAATAATGATCACCTCTAAATGGCGGCCATTTTTTTCAGGAATTTCTTTTGGAAAGAGAACAAAAATGCATACAGAATAACCTCCGAACGACGACAGTTTTTTAGGTTTTCATCAGTGGTCGCTGTTTAGAAGTTTGCCCATATTTTAAAAGTTCTCTTGCAAGATTATCCACTCAAATCTTATAACTATCAATTTTTATATCGTTTTAAAAAAAATCCAGCAACGAGTAACTTAACTTTTCCGGCAACATTTGGTTGCGCCATCTGTTATCATATTTTATTAAAGTTTTTTTTTTTATATTTTTAACTATTACAAAATGGTAAAAAAAAAACTTAATTTTCAGGGTAGGAATCGGTTTTATAAAAAATTGTAAATGAGAATAACGAGTAAAATCGTCATTACCTCTGACCCTAACTGAGATACAAGCGACCCCCATTTATCTCTCTACTACCCAGACCTTTAATCACCAAAATTTAATAGTATCAATCCCTGTAATAAACAAACCTCCCTGAAAAATTTCAGAAATTTTTGACAAAAAATACAGGAGTTATTAAGCTTGAAAGAGGGTGAATAAAAGTGTGCCCCCCCACACATACACTAACATCCATAGATACAGAAATTATCCCCGAATTTTTTTGCATTTTTCTCGACGTTTTAAGGCCCCGAGTCCAAAAATGGAAATTCTTAGGGGTCATTTTTTGATCGATCGCTATAGTTTTCCTCTGTTATATATAACAGAGCTGAAAAAGTAAAATTGGTATATATTAATATTTAGCTAATTTATGTACAGCCGTTTAGCCGTTCACAGCCCGGCACACGTATTTGTAAAATCTAAGTGACTCGTACAACATGGAATTCATATAACACGGAATTATCTACAGTGTTATAGGGGGTCTACTGTATTTCATCCTGTAAAATTATTTATTATTATACAATTTCTCTAATACAATAAATATAAATTTTATAGAAAAAATTCGGGAATTTTATTAAAAGATTGGTCGTCGTCGATCTGTTGTGTTGCATAAAGGATAACAATTACGTGTACTGTACGTTAATACAAACTACATCGCATTCGGCAGTGTCTACATAATGTTAAAATAATTACAAGAATCAATTCACGTAATACAGTTTATTATGAAGTTTTAATTAATTAAAACCTAACATTTATATAATTATTTTGAAATTATCTTCTCCGTAGGCCTGTCGACATTCCCAAAATCGAAGTGACAATTAAGCTTTTAGAATTATTAGAATTACTTTAGAGCATGGAGATAAACAGAACTTATTTATTAATTAAAATCAATATAGAATTTTACTAATAATTATTCAATGTTAAATGCTACTTTATCATGAAAAATTCCTCTTTAAATGCTTAATTAATGGATAATCTCCTGTTAAATTACATTTAATTAAGTTTATTTTCTAGAAATTTAATTTTTTTTAATGTAAATTAAGTAGAATTTAGGTGAAAATATTTTTTATTTTAAAGTCTCACACACAAACACACACATAAATATATCTTATATATCTTCATTCCTCTTATACTGTAGCCTATAAATTATTCTACATCAAGATTTTTTCAGAAAAAGTATATTTATTTTGAAAATCGATTTAACTTTTTTTTTTATATATATATTAGAACTCGGTAAAACCATTTTTATCGAGTTTAATAATAGAATAAACTAGTGACGTGACGGTGACGTGATTAATTACGTGTCAGAAGAAAAATTAAGGAATAGCACGTGACATAAAAATAACATGATAAAGATGAATGGCATCAAACAGGAAATTTCTTAATGGCTCTTCATTTAGTCACAGGCAACATCCATTAGATTGTTGTGTAGTTTGACATTGACAATGATTTTTTTTTAATTATTTGTTTAGTCAAAAAAATTATTGTTAAATTAATTAGTTTTTATGTACTGTTTATATAGCATTAACTAGAATAAAATTAAGTGTAAATATATACAACTTACTTGGCCTAAATCTATCAGATCTGGTGATAAACCTCCATGCATACAAAATATTGTGCCTTCTATTAAAGCAGCTGAAATAAAATTTAAATAAGAATATTTAGTTATTTAAATCAATATTTAATTATAATAATGTTTTTTTTTTAAATTATTAGAAGAATTTATCCAGAAGCCTTAAGTGAAGAAATTATCAATAGTTTCATAGTTATGTTAGAAACCAATATTATTAAGTTAATCTGAATAATTTTAATTATGGTATATTAGTCATTCCTAACATTCCAATCTATAATAATTGTATTTAGCTTAGCTTCTATCATGTTTGTTAATATTGAATAATGGTTACTATCAGATTGCTCCAAAAACCAGATAAGTCTATAATCTACAGAGGTTACAAGAACTTGTAAGTGTACTATAGAATCTCCCTCCCAATCATTTTCCTAAGGCTTTTGATTAATCAATCAAATATCTTCCTCTAGTAGATAGCACTTCTTAGTGATCCAATGCTATTAAATATATCTTTATCATCATTTTAAGGGTATAATATTCTCTTTTCTCTGGTTTACCTTATCATCTATGAGTTGAGACAATTAAGAGTTCATTTGGTTGGGCTTAAATGACCTTAATTAGTCACACATCTAGAGGATAATTTTGGCAAGAGTTCATGACTCCACCCTGAGATGAAGAGAAACCAAAGAGCAATGAAATGATGAAAAGATAAAAGACAAGAGAAGTTATTTTAATTAACCATCTTCAAGTAAACTTTTGATTAAAATATGGAATAGATATCATTATAATGGATAAAATTAAGANTCCGGTGTAGACCGGAAGTTCCTACATTGATCGTGAATTCAAATCAAAAATTTCCCCACGAACAGAGTTACATAGATGACCGGCAGGACTCTGTTGTTGTTAGGAAAAGTATGATGTATCGTACAGGGGCAAGACACCAATAATTTGAGATCGAGAGCATATATTTTAAATCAATAAGTTAAAAATTGCAGGCCCGGCATCGAAAAGTTTAGCATTAATCTGTGCAACGAATGCCCGGATTAACAAGAGCGTAATGTTATTTCAATGGCACGTTATAGCTTCATGGTCACCCAAACAAATTTGAATTAGGGGACCCCACGTACAGTGTTGACTTCAGATATTTTTTCAGGGAATATTTGGGGGAAAATACTGTCTTATAAAAGGTTGGTTTGGGGTCCTCTTTTGGTTGGGCACCCGGAAATTGCCCTTTTAACCCATAACCAGCCACTGTGCAGGCCTAATTGCAAGCATACGGAAGGTAGAAAACAATAATGTAGGAACAGAACAGCCCGCGTTTTTAACAAATTTAATAACTTTTTTAAAATATTTTTACGAGAAAGATTAAAATTTATTTTAGTTTAATTACATGTGAGTTATTTAAGTGTAATTACATGTGAGTATTGAATGCTACTACTACGTGACTGTTTTAACGTTATTCATAGCGTGTACATTATTAAAGATATTTAGTAAAATTTATTGCCGAAATGTAACACGTTACTTTCATCTTATTTATATAAGCTTATAGACCTATAAATAAGCTTATTTTTAAGTTTTTTTTTTAATAGTCAAAAATATCTATCAATTATTTTATATTTATTAGATTTTAAAGTCAATGACAAGTAGGTTGTTTACTGAAAATATAATGTAAAAAGTATTAAAAGATTCATTTTTATAGGAAGAGAAGGAGAAAGAACAGATGAAGATAGAGAAGTAATGGGAAGAGGAAAAAGGAGAGATAGGAGAAGAGAATGAGTAAGATGATGATAATAAAGAGAAAGAACAGGAGGAGAAAAATGAAGAAACAGAAATAGAGAAAGAAATAATTGATGAAAAATACCAGGTGCATAATTTATGCCATATATTCATATTTTATACCATTTTAAATATAAATCATCAATTAAAATGTAATTTATAAACAATATGTCAGTGTCTATTGAAAAAACAATTATTATTATTTTGAAGTTTTTAGTTATCATATTTATATTCCTACTTTAGTGAAAAATTACTCAAATATTTAATTTTATATGCCATAACTTAATAATAAAACAACTAAAATTAATTATGTATTTATGTTGTATTAATGTTTATTTATTTATTTATTTATGAGGGGAGCGAAAACAATAACAACTCCATTAAAAAAAACTGAACATTTATTTTTAAGAATTTTAATTAGTTATAAATTTAAAAAAAAATTTATGTAGAAACTTCCAAGTAAACAATTTATTTTATATTATTTTTTTGAATTATTTTTCAAATCTTCTTTAAAAGGACCTAATACCAAAAAAATTTTAATAGTCTGAAAATGAAAATATTTAAATATGTATAAAGTAAAACCTATTCAAAACAATGGCCACTGAAGAGAACAAAGAAAAAATGATCGTTGTTTGGAAGTTATTTTGTATGCAAAACTTCCATTCTTTAGAGGGCTATTGTATGGAGGTGGCCTTTATCGAAGGTTCGACTGTATCAAGCATTAAATAAATATATTTTTAACATAAATAAACGAGAAAAGAAAGATATTTTACCTATTTATACTGGCACATTCATGGTTCCCTCTTAATAAGAAAAAATTATTCGGATATTTAATTTTATACGCCAGAACTAAACATATCGTTTCCAGAGACTGCTTTCCCCTATAAAATACATAAAAATTAATTACAATTATTTAAAGAATATACGGTAAACAATACAAAAAAGAAATGATTGAATATATCTGCTGTTTTTTAAGCATAAATCTCGAATATTTAAATGAAAAACATCCTTTAACGTCAAAAATATGTTGACTGTTAATCAATTATAGTTATGGCTAACAGGTCTTTGTACATGAAAATTTCATTCTTGCATTTTCTTCTTGACATTCAACTGTTGATTTATTGAATTAGACTGGTATGCCTATGTAAATAGTATTAAAAGTGCAATAAAGTGTACACGTTGTTATATTTTTGTTTTGTTTCCCCTTTTATATTTCAAATATATTTGATATTAAATGTTTTTTGTTCCAGTCGTTTTGTTATCGATTGATTACATTATGANGTGTATTTTTTTTAAGTTCACAGGGGAGAAAAAAGATGTAAAGTAGAAAAAAATCTGCAAGAAATTTTCCAAAAGAGTAAATTTTATTGAGTTAAATGATTCGTAAAAATACGTTTTCTTACCTAAAAAAATTAATTAATTTTATTTTTTTATTGCTGTAGCAGCGTTATTAAGTTATTACTGTAATAGCATTTTCGGAAATCAGAGATATTCCTTTCAGTTTTATTAATGAAAGAGCGCTTTTATACTTAATTTTATCAATAAAATACTGCTGATAAATTATTAAATTGTGCTTATACATTAAATTTCATCATATAAAATATTGCTTATTAATTATAAAACGAGCAAAAGTTTTTGTTGTGGCTACAATTTTTATTTAAAGTATATGCTCTCGATCTCAAATTATCAGTCCCCTGCCCCTGTAAATCATACTTTTCCTGGCAACAACAGAGTCGTGCGGTCATCTATACTATGTAACTCGGTTCAGGGGAGAATTTTTTGAATTGCAATCACGTGAATTCCGGTGTAGACCGGAAGTTCCTACATTGATCGTGAATTCAAATCAAAAATTTCCCCACGAACAGAGTTACATAGATGACCGGCAGGACTCTGTTGTTGTTAGGAAAAGTATGATGTATCGTACAGGGGCAAGACACCAATAATTTGAGATCGAGAGCATATATTTTAAATCAATAAGTTAAAAATTGCAGGCCCGGCATCGAAAAGTTTAGCATTAATCTGTGCAACGAATGCCCGGATTAACAAGAGCGTAATGTTATTTCAATGGCACGTTATAGCTTCATGGTCACCCAAACAAATTTGAATTAGGGGACCCCACGTACAGTGTTGACTTCAGATATTTTTTCAGGGAATATTTGGGGGAAAATACTGTCTTATAAAAGGTTGGTTTGGGGTCCTCTTTTGGTTGGGCACCCGGAAATTGCCCTTTTAACCCATAACCAGCCACTGTGCAGGCCTAATTGCAAGCATACGGAAGGTAGAAAACAATAATGTAGGAACAGAACAGCCCGCGTTTTTAACAAATTTAATAACTTTTTTAAAATATTTTTACGAGAAAGATTAAAATTTATTTTAGTTTAATTACATGTGAGTTATTTTAGTGTAATTACATGTGAGTATTGAATGCTACTACTACGTGACTGTTTTAACGTTATTCATAGCGTGTACATTATTAAAGATATTTAGTAAAATTTATTGCCGAAATGTAACACGTTACTACAAATTACATACAATTTTAATGCCATTAAAGTTATAGAGAAAGCTTTTTCCATTGTTTTTTTTTTCCTTTTTTTTATTGCCACGAGCTATTTGGAATTGTATCGAAAATTTTGGTAAAGTATTTGAATTGTTCTTTTATTTATTTTTTATTATATTAAGTAATAAATGCGATTAAATTTGTTCAAAATGTGATTATATTTCGAAGTTTTAGTTTAGAAACTCACCATTCTCTTGATGTTTTCATTTGAAACGCTTCTGTAGTACAATACACTCTCACTAATCCGGCATATTCACCCAGATCGCTCTATTATACAACTAACAGAGAAAAAGTAAGGCGTGGACCTCGAAACGTCCAGAAATTCGAGGAATTTGAGGGATTTTTCTGTATGCATGAATGTTTGTGTGTGGGAGGCGCGTTTTTATTCACCTAATTCAAAGCTTAATATCTCCCGTGACCTTCACCAAAAATTTCTGAAACTTTGCACCGAGGTTCGGGTATTAAGTGGAAACATTTCCAGAAATTTTCGGGAAAATTGGACTTTTGGTTCGTGAGATATGGCTCAACTTCCTTAATATCTCACGAACCAATCTGAAGTATTAATGGTTATGGTAGCAATCAATTATTACGGATGAAAACAAAGAATGCCGGGAAAATACAGTAACAGTGTTGCCAGTTTTTTAATATATTATTTACTTTAAAAATGTTTAATTTTTTTTACTTTTTAATAAATTATTTTTTTGCGTCATTATCTTAAAATCTAATTGAAATATCATTAATGTTTTAAAATATAATTAAAAAAAATTATATTTTGTTCATGACCATAATTATATTAATGCTTAATTAAACTAATTATAATAATTGGATAAGTAAAGAATAATTTATAAATACAGTAAAACCTGTATAAAACGGACTTGCACTGTACTGAATATTTTTCCGGATTGACAGGTTTCCGTTTTGAACAAGTTATATAATTATTATTTAACACAGAAAATCTCTGCGTTCCGAAGAAGAATTCCCATTTAGGCAAGTTTTATTTAGGTTCCGTTTTGAACAGGTTTTACTGTATATTATTTCCATAAACCTAAATTTTCTTTTTATAGTTACAGTTAAACCTGTTTAAAACGGAAACCGAAATAAAACGAAAACTTGCCTAAACGGGAAAATTTTTGAGCGATTTTCTATGTTTAAAAAAACTGTTCAGAACAGAAACCTGCCAAATCGGACAAAATATTCGATGCGAGTCCAGTTTACATAGATTTTATTATATAATATTTGAGATTTTACTTGAAATTTTTATGATTTAATGAAATAAAATTTACTTAATGAACATTTTGATTAATATTGATATAATTTTGATAATTAATCAAGGATGATCGTAATTAAAAAGTGTGTTCGGATCACTCTGTAGAAAGAACTACGGTGAAAATCTCAACCAAATTTGGCATATATACTGTCCTCAGTATTCAGGTTCGATTTTCGGAGGAAATTTTATTTAAAAATTCGGCTGCTAGGGCGAAATTTGGAGCTGCTGTTTTATTAATGTGTATATTACGTACGTTTTATACAAATTTCGGGTGTAAAAGAGATCGCAAAACGTTCAAATTTTCAGAAGTGACGAGGAAACGTACTGTACGTAATATGCACATTTTATAAACAGCAGCGCCAAACCGTACCCTAGCGGCCGAATATTTAAGTAATATTTTTTCCGTAAATCGAATCTACATACTCGTGGGGCAGTATGAACAGTAAAATCTGTGTAAACCGGAATAGCACGGTGTCCAATAGTTTCCCGTTTAGGGAGGTTTCCATTTTATACAGGTTCCGTTTTTGATAGGTTTTTATGTAATAATTATAATTTTGTAAAAACTATTTAAAACTTCATCAAGATTCAAGCGCGAAGAAGAATCTATTAAAATTAATTTTTATAATGTAAGAAGGTTTATACAGCTGAACCTTTAATAACGGACACTTTAAAAGATGGAATTTTTTTCAAGAACTTTTTTTTAACAAAAATACGTACAAAATAACCTCCGAATAACGACCATTTTAGGACCTTTTACAAACAAAAATGCATACGAAATAACTTCCAAACTACGGCCACCTCCTAATAACGGGCATTTTTTTGTGTTGCCTTCAGTGGCTGTCGTTCAGAGGTCTGACCATATAAACTTTCTTAACATACGTAAGATATATTTCAAGATATTATTACTTAATATTTGATCTTTATGAAGGGTATTCTTTTAATTTTTTCCTCGAAAGAAACGATTTCTAATTGACTACTTTAGTAAATCGCGTGATTGAGAATCACTTACAATCGAAGGACATTCTTACAATATAAGAGTAAAGGATGATTGATATAGAAGATTATATTTTAAAAATGTAATCTTTGTGGGCTTTAGTATGTAAGTGATTGATAGGCAATCACTTACATTCGAAGGACACATTAAATATGCTTAATTTTATTAAAAATTAATAAAAAAAAAGTAAAGATTTTAATAGTAAAATTTTAAAATTTATAGTACAAATTTCATTTTTATTCGTCTTTTTTACGTAATAATTCTGATAAAACGCGTGTTAAAACCCTACAAAAACGCGTTGGTCGCGGGTTCGTGTCTCATCAACAGGCCAGTGTAGAAATTCCCGTGTTTTTTCCACGTGCCTAACACCTAAATAGGAGTCGATTTGCCCATAGAAAGCCCTCGTGTTGAGTTGCCTTACCCCAACGACCCCACAATCCTGCAATTTTGACATTTCAAAATGGCCGTTTCCAGGTCTTTGACCGTTGTAAGGCGAAGAAATTTTCTCTTCTACAATGCCCCTAAGCGAACTCTCACGTATTGTTAAGTCTGGAGTTAAAGAAATCACCCGACAATGGTTCCAGATCCATCCGAACCATCGTCTACCAAATTTGTGGTCGATTATTTTCTAGAGAATAAGTAAAATAATGAAACCTGTCTAAAACGGAAGAAAAACTTACTGTGAAATTCCGGCTTACACAGGTTTTACTGTATTTACCATACGCAAATAACAATAAGAGAAAAAATTCGATGAAGTTCTTTTATTAATATTTGTCAAGCAAAATATAAAAAAAAAAACAATTCAAAATTAAAGAATAGTTTCTAACGTGATTGTTATAGAAAAAATTTTTAATTAAATTCCTAAAGAATTTTCATTTTAAAACAAGTTATAAACTTCAAATAAGACGCGCTCAGAATCGATCGCGATCGATCTTTCCGCTGTTTTTGGTGTGAGATAATAAATAAAATTTAGTAAAACACTAAAACACTATGCGCTGCATATAAATTATATCTTAAAATAAATAAATTCATGCATAAAAGTAGCATTTAGAGGACCATCGAG